AATTTTGTTGATGTACTTTTAACTACTGCGATCCATAAGCTATGACATTTTTATTCTGCATCAACACAGCACCCAAACCCGCATGTGAACCATCACAATAAACAATAAAATCTTTACCTTCCAGCGGTAGGGCAAAAATAGGTGTTATGGTCAGAAAAGTTTTGAGCTTTTGAAAGCTCTCTTCGCACGTGTTAGTCCACTCAAAGAGTATCTCCTTTTTGGTTAGCCTTGTCAAGTGTGTGGCGATAGAAGAAAAATTCTTCACAAACCTACGATAGTAGCTAGCGAGCCCCACAAAACTCCTAATTTTATTGACAGAACTAGACCGAACCCAATTCTTGACTGCTTCAATCTTTTGGTGATCTACCATTACCCCTTCTCTTGAAACTACATGCCCCAAAAAGGAAACCGAAGTCAATCAGAACTAACACTTAGAAAATTTAGCATACAAAATTTGTCTCCCAAGAACACCCAGAACAATACGAAGATGGTCAGCATGCTCTTCCTTACTTTTTGAATAAACCAAAATGTCATAAATAAATTCTATAACAAACGAATCCTCAAATGGTTTGAACACACCATTCATCAAACTTATGAAAGTTGTAGGCACATTTGTCAACCCAAATGACATCACTAGAAACTCACAGTGCCCATAGCGGGTCCTGAATGTCATTTTTTGTATATCCTCAAGCCTAATCTTTAACTAATGATAAACAGACCTTAGATCAATCTTACAGAAAACAGATGCACCCTGCAACTTGTCAAAAAGATCATCTATCTGAGGCAGTGGATACTTATTTTGAATGGTGACCCTATTCAATTGACGATACTCTATACACATCCTCATACTACCATTTTTTTTCTTAACAAATAGGACAGTAGCAATCCATGGGGAAACACTAGGACGGATGAAACCTTTATGAAGAGACTCCTAAATTTGAGCTTTAAGCTCTCTCAATTTTGCCAGAGCCATACGATAAGGAGGGATGGAGATGGGCGAGTACCAGTTTCCAAGTCAATGCAGAAATCTATATCTCTATCCGTAGTCAAACCAGGAAAATTGGTAGGAAACACTTCTCTAAATCCCGACACCACAAAAATAGATTCAATAGAGGGAGACTCAACCTCAACATTCAAAATATGAGCCAAATAAGACAAACAACACTGCCCCACCAGTTTCCTAGCCGAAATGGAGGATATGACCTTAGTTGGCTTAGGCTGGTACACCCCCTCCCACTCTACCTTTTACCTACATGGGATCTATAGAGTTATAGACTTAGTATTACAATTAAGCACAACATAATAGGGGGACACCTAAGTCATGCCTAAGATGATATCGAAGTAAGTCAGATCCAAAATAACCAAATCCGTCCAAGTCTGAAAACTCATAAATAAGATAGGAAAAGCACGCTAGACATGGGTAACTATGACAGACTCTCCAACTGGGGTAGAAACATAGATGGCGGCATCAAGTACATCACAAATCATATCAAATCCTAAGGCAAACTGAACTGAAACATATGAATAAGTAAAACCTGAATCAAACAAAATAGTAGCCATCTGGTCACATACAAAAATAGTACATGTGATCAGTGCGTTAGAAGAATCTTCCTCGCTCTTGCCCAGAGAGGCATAACACTAAGCTCGGTTATCATGACGGGTGACCTCCTTACGTGGCTGCACCGTTCCTCTACCTGCGTTACCATTTCTCCGGCCTGCACGGTCTCACTGATTTCCTCCTCTCCCACCTTGCGAACGCCATCTACCATTATTACCATTGCTCGCGGATACCACTGCTCTAGTCTGCTGCTGCGCCAGGTCGAATATGCGCGGGTGGGGACAATCTCTCCTCATAAGCCCAGGTTCTCCATAATTAAAACAAGTACGATCGAAAAATGACATGCTGCCCGCCGAAGGTACGGCTCCCTGGCTATCTTGAATAACATTCTAGTGTGGAGTTCTCGAGTAACTACTTGTAGAAGCGGGCATAGCGGACTGAATTAGCCAGGCTGCAAGTGTCAGCCTCCCTGGACAACTAGAGTAGGAACCTGAAAGTTACATGTGCTCTTAGCTTTCTTAACCAACGCCTTAGCCTGCCCATCATGCCTAACTCCTTCCACTTTCTTCACCAAATTCATCACCTTATTAAAACTTTTCCCTGCAGAAGTCATGTGAACAGACAATATCTGTTACTCGGAATTCATCCCCTTGACGAATAGAAGAATCCTCTCCTCCTCCATAGTCACCAGTTGCGTAGCATATCTAGACAAAGCATGGAACTTAGCCTCATAATAAGCTACAAACATACCACCTTGATCCAAAGCCATGAACTCATCCTTCTTACGATCTCTCAAGGTCCGGGGCACATACTTTTCCAAAAAGAGAGCATGAAACTAGGTCCAAGTGAGTGGGGGTAAAACTGACGATATGCATTCCACAAAAGCCCTTCACCACTGCTTAGCCTTACCCTGAAGATGGAAGGTCACGAACTCTACTCCATGCTGGTGTACAATACCTAACTTATGCAGGCTCTCTTAATAATCCAGGATGAATTCATAGGCGTCCTCACTCTCAGAACCATGGAACATATGCGGCTTCAACTTCAAAACCATAGTCAACATCTCATGCTCATTACCAGCCATTACGAGACCCAACAAAGTACGGAAAAAGGAATCCATGCCTAATGCCGCATCTCCCCTGTTACTAGTAACATTAACAGGACAGTTGATTGAGGGTTGAGTAGCTTGCACTGCTGGAAGGATTCCAGAACCAACCAATTCTTTTAGAAAAGACATGATTTGTTGAGATAACACTAGGTCTAAGGGAGGAACTCTGATATTCCTAGTTGGTGCATCCTTTTCATGTCCAACATCCCCCTCGTCCTCAATCTCCACATTCTCTTCTACCTCTTCTTGATGTGCAGGAGGAACCTCATCTCTAGGAGCATTCTCAACTGGTGCTCCACCCCTAGTGGGTACTACCCTTCCTCGGCATTGGCCCCTTGCTCTTCCTCTACCTCTGCCTCGACTGCAACCTCTCTGCGGATTCCTCAGCTGGTTCACTGATGGGAGCTACAGGCCTACCGCCGTTGAATCTAGTTTTAACCATCTGCAAACAGAATATTAATGGTGAAAAGATACCAATTTGGATCACCAGCTACCAATTGGAATCAAGTTATAGCACGAAAGGAGACACTACAAGAAAATGTACATATGACGACATTAATTTGGTGACATTTTAAACGAATGTCGGAAAGTAAAGAATTTCACGACATTTAAGAAGAAAACGTCATAAAACAATTACATTTGATGTCAAATGTCGTAAAAAAAAATGACATTTGGTATCAAATATCGTAAATATAATGACATTTGGTCCAAAATGTCACTATGATAATGACATTTATTGCAAAATATCATTGTTTTTAGCGACATTTAGCGAAAATGTCAT